ACCGTGCTCTGGTGTCTTCAAACTCTTAGAGAGATCCATCGAATCTCGACGTGATTGCCCCGGATTGACTGTAGTTGGCACAACAAAGTCTTCAAATTTTGCCCCAAAAGAGTAAACAAGTTGGGAAAGCATTAATTAGGAGAAGCAACATGTTTGTGCTTAAGGTCTTCATGTGACATGCCCATGGATATGATTTTTTCTTGACGTGATCCGCCAATTACTCAACAGAGCTTCAGGCCTTAAGAATAGACTCATCACTGGTGCTTATATGTGAGTTTCCTTGATATCAAACAAATGTTTTTCAGTTAGAAAATTTTATTATGAGAATGAAAATTCTAATGCAACAGTTATGTAAGTCTTGAAGATTTTTGAAAAGATATCGCACAAATTTTGCGAGTTAGAGCATCATTTATTTTTGTATAGGAAAAACATATGATACCAACATAACTATTTAGAACATTCATGGGAGTCAGGAACACTATCTCATTGAAGTATGCTTTCAAAATAACCTTGCTTCAATTAGGACTTTTGAAGGTTGAATCGTGGTCTGGTTCATGGTTTTTTTTTTTTAGAAAAAAGATTTTAAGGCTCAAAATATTCGGTGCCCACCCATTCTTCATGATGCTCTCCAACCCTATGTTCAGTTAATTCAACATGAGTGTTCATCTCTCAAAAGGATTTTGTGACGGTCAAGGAAACGACGAGGCTTTCGGAGTAGAAACCACCCTCATGTCTTCGTGTTTGTAGTCACCAATTTGCTCTTTGCTGAGGACTTTTCTTTGTAGTCCTTTCTTTGCAATTTTTACTTTCCCTAATTTTTGCCTGAACTAATTTTTGAATTGATAGTCCAGCGGGATGCCTTAATTTTGCCTAAGTCACACGTTTTCATGTTTTTTTGACTTAGCAGGCTTTTTCTTTTTCTCGATTTTTGACTTTTTGAACAAAATGTGTGACATTAGCTTGTATTTGCTTGTTGAGAAGATTGTGATTGCCTCGTTTCTTGATGAATGAGGGTTAGCATTGTGGTTCCACATCCTCTTAATTCATTATACATGAAGGATATCCCTCGTAGTTTCTCTTCAAAAACATCTCCCTTATGAATTTTGAACAATCAGTCAAATTAACCAAAAACTACCTTGCCCCAGGTTAAAATTCAAGTTTTTTTCGTATAGAAAAGAAACTTCTGCTTCAAAGGCTCAAAAGGGGTTATCAAGGGATTATTTTCCTTATATCTCCGGTGTTTAGGAATTTGAAACAATGCCTGTACATCATCAGCAAGATTTTATCCAAAAGTAAACAACCAGAGATTTTGTGTTCTTTAGATCATCATCCTCCCTTCAATCTCTGCCTAGGCAAGAGAATGGGCAACAAGTTGGTATCATAATGCCAAAAGAAATTTAAAATTTGAAAACAAATATGAGTGAAACGAATGAATTTCTTCAAGACAAACATACTCATTGTATTAAGATAATCACACAGATGCAAACAAGTTCTTACATGCAAACAATGTTTTGATAAACAAGAAAAATTACAAAAAGCAGAAATAAGTTAATGATCGGGGAGGCTTTCCATCTGGACCTGAATTACCGAAAACATCATTCAAAACTCAAAGTGACCATCAATCATGTTTACTCTTCGGCACATGCTTGATTTGAACTTCAAAACCAACGTCCCTGAATGACAAGATACCACTTCTGACCAACTTCTGAACCTCGACCTTCAAAGCAAAGTAACCCTCCAAGTCATGCCCAAGAGCACCTTGATGAAAGGTACAAGCCAAATCAGCTTTGTAGTACCAATGTATCTTCTCAGGAACCTTCGGTGGAGGTCAGGTCTGAACCAAATTCCTTTGCATCAGGATAGGGAACAACTCTGTATAGGTAATTGGAATTGGATCAAACTGGGTTTTCCTCTGATTAGGAACTTGTTGATTCTGTTGATAAATGGGAGAAACATGATGATTCTGATGATGATTATTTCTTCCTCTGGTTCTCTTCTTGGAAAAGTCATTATCAAACTTCTTCACACCATTAGTTGAGCTACCATCTTCATATGAACATCCCTTCCCAACATCTTCTTCTAGACGCACTCCCACATTCACCTTGTTAGGAAAGTCATTAGGTGCATTAACCATCACCTTCTCATGAGAGAATGATTTTAGAGTTTCAGTGAAGACTTTTATCATCGCTTCGTCCCTCCTAGAAGGATTGACTTGGGCGGCAAGAATTTCAACCAAACCAGTTAAGCGCTCCATACTAGCTTTCAAAATAGTCATCTCTCTACGGAGTTCAGAAACCTCTTGCTTGATATTATCCATTGTTCTCTTAGCGCGAGTGTTGTACTGGTGAGACCAAAGGAAAAATAAGACTCGGAAAAAGATCTTTGAAAGTGAAACCAAAAAATGTAGAATGATGTATGATATGCAAAAGAGAGTTTTTATTTGATTTTCAAGGAACTCAAGATATTAAGTTGTAAACATCAAAGTATGAAGATAGAAGATGAATTTTAAATTGGCTCCAAACATTGATCCAGTTATCATCAAGATCAATCATCCATTTTGGTGGATTAGGGTTTTCGCCCCATCAACACCCAAGATCCATTGAGCTTGACGAAACTTGTGATGTTTACAAAGAAAGACCTCTAAATTCCTTCAAAGTCAAGTGAAAAGGGTTTTATGGATGCATGAATACATGGCTATGCAACAACCACAAGCAAGGTCACAAATAAAGTCGAAAGGTTCAACGTCACGAGCATGGAGTCAAGGTAAGGAACAACCCCAAGGTATGTACTAACGGTTTAATCACACCTGTAGAACAAGGTTCTAAGAGTTCCCGGAGTCTACATTCCTCCTTCGGATATTACCAACGTCTTGATTACTCAATAATCAGCAATATTCTCAAGAGAAACTCATCCGAGCGTAGCATCGCGTAACAATTACTTCCGGATTACTCTGTTATAATCTCCGCGCTACACCTAAAAGGCCAAGATGGGTTAGGGTTCTACGGTTCCCAGCTTCTCTGGCTCCCAGGTCGAAAATAATAATGTCTTCCCGATTACTCGGTAAACAAATATTACGTTCAAAAGGGCCTTCCACTGAGTGGGGGATCTCATGCCTCCTTCTTCGGGATTACTCCCTCAAAGTTAACATGACTATACCGCCCGTCCTATTCCTAAGTATAACTTAGTCCGGGTATAGGACTTGTCCTTTGTAAATATTATCAACACCCAAATAATCATAATATATACATATAATCAAACAATCAAATAATGATAAAACAGATAAAACAAATTAGGCTTAACCCACTTAGGGATGGACCAGCAAGAGGTCAATCTTTCCCCAGCAGAGTCGCCAATTCTGTAGCGGTGAAAATCGGAGATCAAGCTATTAATTAACTTGACTCACAAAAGCAAGAGTCGCCACCGCGCTTTATTATTTCCAAGGGAAAAGGGAAAAGAGCGAAATAAAACCCTAAAATATGCAATGTAAAATAATACTTAAAAGTAATGAAAATATGATGCGTTTTTGAAAGAGATCTAAAGTTCGGGGGTTGGTTATGCAATGGGAAGGTATTAGCACCCAATGCATCTACGGTACTCCGCAGGAACCTTTTGAAATATCTGTTTTTGGTTAAAATTGTTTGTTTGATTAAAATGGTTCGTTTGGCTAAAAATCGGTGTTGGAGAGATTTTGATGATACGACGACCTAGTGTCGAAATTTTGACTTAAAAGGTGTGAGTTTGAAAATGGAGTCTTTTGGGAAAATTATCTTGAGTTTAGAAAAATAGTAAACAAACAAAAAAAATGAAAAAAGGGTATTCGCACGATCGGATGAGATGTATTTGATGACGTGAAGTCAACAAAGTTAAAATATTTCCCTTGGAATAAATCGAGCGAGCAAAATAAAATAGACATCAAAATATAAGCAATCAAAATTCACAAGAAGATAAATATAACGAAACAGATTAATGACCTAAAGGCATCGAGAAATTAAAATGACAAAGATATTTAAATAAAATAAAAAGAGAATGTAACTAATTATCTAAAGAAATTGTTTAAACTAAATTAAAAATTTAAGATTACTTACTAAAAAAATTCTAAACTAACTACAAATTCTAAGGTTGAAAAAATAGTTCTAAAATTACTAAATTAGATCTAAGCTAAATTAAACATTTTAAAATTAGTAAATTAAATCTAAACTAAATAAAAATTCCCAGTATGCTAATCTAAAACAAAAAAGTTCCAAAGTTACTAAACTAAATCTAAATCAAATAAAATTCTAAAAGAATATTAAATTAATTCTAAACAACTAAAATTCTAAACTTATTAAACTAATTCTAAATCAAATAAAAATTATAAACTCATTAAACTAATTCTAAATCAAATAAAATTCTAAAGTTTACTAAACTAAAACTAAACAAATAAAATTCTAAAGTTAACTAAATAAAATCAAATAAAATTCTAAAGTCACTAAACTAACACTAAACAAATAAAATTCTAAAGTTAACTTAAATAAAATCAAATAAAATTCTAAAGTTATTAAACTAAAACTAAACAAATAAAATTCTAAAGTTAACTTAAATAAAATCAAATAAAATTCTAAAGTTATTAAACTAAACTAAAACAAATAAAATTCTAAAATTTACTAAATAAAATCAAATAAAATTCTAAAGTTATTAAACTAAATTAAAACAAATAAAATTCTAAAATTTACTAAATGAAATAAAATTCTAAAGTTATAAAATAAATCTAAACTAATTAAAGAATTCTAAATTAATATTAAACTAAATTAATTATAAGATTTACTAATATATTTTTTTATTTTATTTTTAGCAGAAAGGGTTAGTCATTCAACAGATCTGTTTACGATAATTTAAAGTTACCATAATGGACATCATGTTCCAGCAGAAAGATTTGTGTGGATTTACAAAAATGGTTGAAATCAGCAAGAAACTACTGAGCTTGATTTACTTTGGTTCATTTAGCATGTTCTAGAAATTAATTACCATCCACCTTTGCTACCACCGTCGTTTTTCTTGCCCCACGAACCTGCAGCACCATTTGCTGCAGAATCATTCCAACTAGACGATTGACCCTTATCTGGAGCAGATTCGGTTCCCTTTGCCCAGCCAGCACCGGAATCCGTTCCCTTTGCCCAGCCAGCACCGCCTTTATCCTCTGTCCCCTGTCCTGGCCCATCATTGTTCCAACCACCGCTAGCTCCACCACTTGCTGAAGACTGGCTCTGCCACGGCATATTACTCCCACCTCCAGCATTACTTGAACTGCAGAACCGCAAGCTTCACCTTCCTGTGCTTATGCTTGATCTTCTTCGTCTTGGTATAGGTCTTCTTCTTACGCTTCTTCGTGCCACCGCGGAGACGGAGGACGAGATGGAGAGTTGACTCCTTCTGGATGTTGTAGTCGGCGAGAGTAGGAAGCTGGGAGAAGAGATCTGAAGGCGGACGATTGGTGTTGTGGACCGTATGTTCGCGTGAGTTAATTGAATGAAGTAGTAGTTAGGCGGAGAGGGTTACAGAATCAATGGTGGTTCGTTGGTGTTTATCGGAACGGAGGTTGAAGAAGATGGTGAGCGATTGGCGGTAGTAGATGGAGATTTTGTTGTGGCGTTTGGTGAGAGAAGGAGGGGATGCGTTGGAGATGGGTTTGAAGAAGGCTTTGGTTAGGTCGAGGCCATCTGGGCCTAGTGAACCGGAACTACTTTTGTGCATGATGAAGTGTGGTTAGAGAAAGAGGTGGAGAATGATGTTTGAGAAGTTGAACTGTTGAGGGGTATTATTAATGTGGTTTGTGAGAGGACAGAAGAAGAAATGTATGAGATTTTAGCACACAGGAAGAGAGATGCTGGTTTTGTTATGTTGTTGTTTTTGTCATTTTGATTGAGTTGTGTGAGGTATTTATGGACGATGAGGATGTGTGTGATATTGAGAATATAGGGACTTTTGGTTCAAGAGTCAACAAGAGTGGTTTGTGTGTCTTGGTAGTGCAACGCTGCTTATTTATTTTTGAGCACTTGTATCGATCCTCAATTTCATCCAACAACCAATAGGAATAGAGCATAGTGTAAATAATATATTTTGTGATCAAATAGTCCTTAAATGATAAAAGTAACCAAAAAACTAAATGTATTAAAATTAACTCAATTTAAAATGATTTTTTTTGAATATTTTATGAATAAAAAATAAAGACCCAAAATGACCGAAAATGATAAAAAAACGGACGAAAATTTATCCGAAGAAATAAAATGAACACATTAAAATAATCTACATGTCACAAAGATTAAAGAAAAAATATTCAAGAAGTCAAAAATCAAAAATAAAATAATAATAAAAATATCAGACTAAACAGACGTTTAAGGTTAAAAACGAGACTTCGAACTGTACCGAAAAAATAAAGCGAGCATACCGTCATAATCTACGCGAAGCGCAGATTCATAAAAGGATCGGTAAAAGGTGAAAACTTGAAATATTTTCTCGCTACTTTCCCGCATAGTGTCGAATCGCTTTTAACAGTTTGTCTATAAAACTGAAATATTTTATTATCGACATATAAACAATTTGGAGCAATGCAAGAAAATAGTAAACAGATAAAAATGAATGAAGTGAAATGTCAGGTATTTTTTAACTAAAAGACGATGCAAACTTTGATTTAACTGACTTTTTCTGGTCAACTTAAATACGACTAATGATGCAAAATGTGATGAATGAATATATTTACTAATGATTGTGACTAAATAACAAAATATGATATGAAAGTGCGACTAAAACATATTAGGGGCGAAATTTAGGGTGCGACAGTTGTGCCTTGATGAATCAGTCTTCGAGAATCCACAATCAACCGTACTTCTGGCTTGGGAGACTCAAAACCTTAATTGAGGCGCGACACCTGATGCTCTTGATTCAGACCTGTCTCTGCACATGAAGCAAAAGAAAACATGAACATACACCTTTGTATGGATTAGAAATTAGTGATACATATGCTAAAAACGTTCAAAACACTTGACAATCTTCGCATAGTCGAAGCTCGAAGGTGAGACGTTAAAACCGACCGTATTTCGTGACCTTGACTTAAAATAAAAATGGGATCTTAGGTCAAAAATTGGGGTACAACAAAAATACTTACACAAAGTTAATACAAAGATACTTCAAAGTGCAGAAATTTGTTTGCCTTTTCTTTCTTTTTACACTTGTTGTTTTATTTGAAAACGTCCAATGATTTATTAAATGAGCATATGCATTTGAATATAATCACTGCTTACAAATAAAACGAAATGAGAAAGGATAATTACTGATAGTTTAAAAGTATAGGAGAATGTCTTTAGGCTATTCCAGAGGAAATCCCCTGCAGTACGTCATCCAGATCCTCAATAGAGTTGAAGCTTTGAAATTCATATCCCCATCAGAACTAAGTTCCCAAAACCCCCAACGGAGTCCAAAACTTCAACCTTTAAAACCCTGGTGGAGTACCGTCCATTTTCCTTCAAATTCCCCAGTAGATTGGCATACAACCCAAGCCCTTGAGAACTCTTCAGCAGAATCAACATTCTCCCCACAGAGTTTATTTCCCAACAGATCGAAGATGCTCGATCTCTTTCTTCTAGTTGAAGTCTCCCAGGTTTTGATTCCCCACAGAGATTGTCAAAGTTCTTATTAATCCTCACAAGTCACCAAGGATTTTCCATCCCCAACAGCGATCAAGGATTCATCTTCCCTGGAAGCAGTAAAAAATTTCATTATCTCTAGCTATCAAGGATATATTTTCCTCAGCAAGACAACTAATCAGCTTACATGTACATCCATTACATCCATAAATCATAAACATTGATAGAACACATTTTATTGCATCATACATGTCATGCAACATAATTTTGTGTTTTAGCTAACATTTTACCCTTAACAGGATAAGATTAAAAGCTACCTTTAACAAATGTTCAAAGATCTCAAATACAATACGGATACACTCCAAGACATGGAAGTCATTCTGCTACTCGTTCAGGTCTCTTATTTCAGATACAGTATGGATACACCCCAGACACGGCAATCATTCTACTACTCATTCAGACTTCAGCAATCAGATACAGACTAGATACGCTCCAGACACGGAAGCCATTCTATTTCTCATTCAGATTCAACTATCAACTTCAGGTTCAGATACACTTCAGCCACAGAAGTCATTCTGTCCCTTGTCCAGATCCCAATTACAGTACGGATACACTCCAGACATGGAAGTTATTCTGCTACTCATACAGATCTCGACTTCAGATACTCCCCAGACACGGCGGTCATTCTACTACTCATTCGAACTTCAGCAATCAGATACATACTAGATACGCTCCAGACACCGAAGCCATTCTATTTCTCATTCAGATTCAAATATCAACTTCAGGTTCAGATACACTCCGGACACGACATTCATTATGATATTCATTCAAGAATCAAATACAGTTATAGCTCGGATACGTTCCAGACACGGACGCCATTCCTTTCCTCATACAAATCCAATCTCCAGATACAACTCAGATACGGTCCAAATACGGATACCAATTTGGTGTTCTTTCTCCTGATTTTCAACAAACGATCTTGGGTGGCATCTTTAAGCCCATCTTCAGCAAGATTCTACCAGCTCCAAATTGCATCTTTAAGCCCATTCCCTCAGCTACATTTTGATGAGTGCAAATTTACGGGCACTTTAGTGTCCAATCCTCTTTTACCTTCGAGTCACGAAAGGAAAACTCGCCAATCTAACTCTTTAGATTCAAGAAGATTGAACAGGGGCAGATTTTGTACCCCAAAATTTGCCCTCTCATTTTATCAAGATTTCCCCTCACAATACTTTTTGAACTCCAGACAGGATTAGGGTTTTGCTCTTCTCAAGACATCTCCTTGCATTGATGACCTAAATTAGGGTTTGAGTTTGCACAGGGATTTTTGGACTTCTAATGCTCAAAGTGACTTTCATACTTCATGTTGGACTCATAATATTGTCCATACCAAGTTTCAAGCCTTGAATCAAATTTTTGCCCAGTCAATTGGACAGTTAACCTAGAAATCAGCTGTATTGGGGAAAAAGTCAATTGTGGCCAATTTACAGTCAAACCTCATAATTTTTTATCTACATCAACATTATAGACTCATATGAACCATTTGATCAAGTTTGGACTTCAACTCCTCAAGAAATTTGATCATATCATCAAAAGGGCAAAATGGTCATTTTTAGGGTTTTGATTGCACAAGGGCAATTTCTGATTTGTGACCTATCCAATGGAAAATTGAGCTCAAGAATGGATTCAAGGAACCAATGGAAAATTGAGCTCAAGAATGGATTCAAGGAACCAATGGAATCATCTTGACCTATTCACAAAGTTCAAAAGATCTCAATTGCATTGGATTGACAGATGAATTTTTCAGTCAACTGATCAAAATTTGAATGTACACTGAAAAGTCAAACTATGAATTTTTGGTCAAAATCAAGTGACAAGGGTCATATTTCATCAAGATGTGTCAAAACATGAAACTTGTTCATCAAGAAACCCAATTTTGCAAATTAGGGTTTAAGATTGAAAATTTTCATAACTTAGAATTTTTCCAAGTTATGAAATTTTCTTAACTTTTCCTAACTTTTCCCAACATTTTCACCATGATGCAATTGGATTCAAACAAAACTTCCAACATGAAAGTTGTAGTCCTCCACAAAGTCTACAACTTTTATTCACAAAGTTTTCCCAAAAGAAGCTTGAATCTCAAGTTATAATTTTTGGAACAAGGGTCCATGAAACTTTTAACTTAGTGAAATTTTGCCCTAGTTTAGGCAGGATTTTGGCCTATCTTCATGGCAATTTTTCACATAGTTCAACTTGTAATCTCAAATTTCATTTCAAAGATGGATTGCAGAGCGTGTTTCAAGATTTTCAAAATGTCCAAGAACTCTCCAAACTCATTTATGGTTAGGGAGAATCGTAGGCTTGAAGTTGGCAAAAACTCACTTTTTATCCATGGCATGTTCATAGTGATACAAGTTGCAAACTCTAATCAGCTTGCTTTGTACTTGATTACATGTCTCAAAACCATTCCACACTCAATAATTAAATGCAAATCCATTGGTCTAAGGCTTTGTTTTGGTTATTAGAGGATTGCACACAAGATTAATCCTTAAATAGAAAAAGCAACATTACCATTTTTACTTAAATCTTGCTTTATGTCAAAACTGCATCCTTGAGCATTGAGCCATATCTTGTGC